GTCACCCACAGGGAATGTCACCCACAGGGAATGTCACCCACAGGGAATGTCACCCATGGGGAGTGTCACCCACGGGGAGTGTCACCACAGGGAGTGTCACCCACGGGGAGTGTCACCCACAGGGACAGTCACCCACAGAGTGTGACATTCTCAGGGAGTGTCACCCTCATAGAGTCATAGAGTCCTACAGCACACCGATCAGCCCTTCGGCCCAAACCAGTCCGTGCTGACCAAAATGTCCATCCACGCTAACCCCATTTCCCTGCATTTGTCCCATATCCTTCTAAACTTTTCCTATCCATGTATTTGTCCAAATGCCTGTTAAATATTGTTAATGTACACGCCTCAACCACTTCCACTGGCAGCTCATTCCATATGCCTACCACCCTCTGTGTAAAAAAGTTTGCCCCTTATGTTCCCACATATTCTTGCCCCTCTTACCTTACAAGATGCCATCTGGTCTTCGATTCCCCAACCCTGGGAAAATGACTGAGTGCATTCACCCTATCCATGTCACTCATGATATCATACACTTCTATAAGATCCCCCGTCAGTGTCCTACGCTCTAAAGAAAATACTCCTAGCTTATCCGACCTCTCCTATAATTCAGTCCCTTGAGTCCTGGCAACATCCTTGTAAATTTCTTCTGCACTCTTTCTAATTTAATAACATCCTTCCTATAGCAAGGTGACCAAAACTGAACACAGATACTCCAAGTGCGGCCTCACCAACATCCTGTACAATTATAAAATAACTTCCCAACTTCTTTACTCAATACCCTGACTGATGAAGGCCAGTGTGTCAACTGCCCTGTCTACCTGTGACTCCACTTTCAGAGAACCATGCACCTGGACTCCAAGGCCCCTCTATTCCACTACACTCCTTAAGGCCCCACTATTCACCATGAAACTCCTACCTGGATTTGACTTTCCAAAATGCAACACCTCACACTTATCTATGTTAAACTCCATTTGTTATTTCTTGGTCCACTTCCCCAGCTGATCGATCCTGCTGCAATTTCTGATAACCTTCCTCACTGTCCATGATACCGCCTATTTTAGTGTCATCCACAAACTTACTATGCCTGCACATTCTCATCCAAATTATTGATATAGATAACAAACAACAATGGGCCCAGCATCGACCCCTGAGGCACACCACTAGTCACAGGCCTCCTTCCACTATTACTCTCTGCTTCCTACCATCAAGCCAGTTATGTATCCAGTTTGCCAGCTCTCCCTGGATTCCATGCGATCTAACCTTCCCGAGCAGCCTACCATGTGGAATCTTATGAAAGGCCTTACTGCAGTCCATATAGACTATGTCTACTGCCCTGCCCTCATCAACCTTCCTGATTACTTCATCTGAGAACTCCAACAAATTTGTGAGGCATGCTCTCCCACACACACAGCTGTGCTGACTACTCGTGATCAAACCCTATCTTTCCAAATGCATGTATATCTTATCCCTCATAATCTTCTCAAGTAACTTACCTACCACAGATGTTAGACTTACTGGTCTAAAGTTCCCAGGTTTTTCTTTGCAGCCCTTTTTGAATAAGGGCACAACATCCGCTACCCTCCAGTCTTTCGGTACTTCACCCATGGCTAACGGTGATGCAAATATATTAGTCAGGGCCCCCACAGTTACTCTAGCCTCTTGCAGTGTTCTTGGATATATCTGGTCAGGACCAGGGGATTTATCCACCTTCATTCATTCTAATACTTGCAACACCTCATCTACTGTGGTATGGACTGCCACTAACTTCCCCAAGTTCCCAATTGAAGACCTCACCCATCTCCTGTGGTTCCACACATACATGTCCACTTTGGTCCTTGAGGGGTCCTATTCTGTCTCTAGTTATTCTTTCTCTTTTAATATACTCAAAGAATCTGTTTGGATTCACCCTAATCTTCTCAGCCAAAGCTATGTCATACCCCCTTTTTGCCTTCCTGATTTCCTTCTTCAGTAAACTCCTGTATCCCCTATATACCTCCAGGGATTCCCTTGATCCCAGCTGCCTGCTCCTGAGCCATGCCTCCTTTTTTTCTTGTCAAAGGCTCAATATCTCTTGTCATTCAGGGTTCCCTCCTCCTGCCAACCTTGCCCTTCACCCTCACAGAAACATATAGACCTTGAACTCTAGCTGTCACACTTTCAACGGCCTCCCACTTGCCTGCAAACAAACTGCTCCAGTCAAGCCCCGCAAGCTCCTGTCCAATTCCATCAAAATTCGCCTTGCCCCAGTTTAGAACTTGAGCCTGTGGACCAGTTATGTCCTTCTCCATAATTGTTTTAAAATTAATAGAACTATGGTCACTAATCCCGAAGTGCTCCCTCACTGTCACCTCAGTCACCTTGTCCTGCCCTATTTCCCTAGAGTAGGTCGGGTTTTGCCCCTTCCTGAGTAGGACCCTCTATATACTGCTTGAGGAAACTTTCCTGAATACATTAACAAATTCCACCCCATCTAAGCCCTTAACACTATGGCAGTAGCAGTCTGTGTTAAGAAAATTAAAATCCACCACTATGACAACTCTATTCCTCCTGCAAGTCTCTCCAATCTCCCTGCATATTTATTCCTCTAGTTCCTGGTGACTATTTGAAGGCCGATAGTACAACCCCATTAACGTCACTATCCCCTTCTTATTTCTTAGTTCCACCCACAAAGCCTTACTGGATGATCTCTCAGTTATTTCATCTCTGACTACTGCTGTGATACTCCCCTTAATCAAAAATGCAACTCCCCCTCCCCTCTTTCCTCCACCTCAGTCCCACGCAAAGCACCTGTACCATGGCACATTAAGCTGCCAGTCCTGTCCCTCCCTTAGCCATGTTTCTATAATGGCTGTAATATCCCAGTCCCATGTACCCATTCACACCCTGAGTTCATCGGCCTTACCTGTCAGCCCTCTTGCATTGAAATAGATGTAATTTAATCTAACAGCCATTCCTCGCTCCCTGTCCTGTTCCAGCCTGACCTGTCTCTTCAACTTGCTATTTCTGATCACTGTATCTCCTTCCAGCCTATCATTTGCCTCCCTGCTGTTTAAGATCCCATCCCCCTGCCAATCCAGTTTAAACCCTGGGGAGGGTCACCAGTGGGAGGGTGACCCAGTGGGAGAGCCACATGGAGTGTCACCTACTATGAATCGGGTGAAACAGGTGTGCCAACCTGAATATGTGCCAATGTGCTGCCTCTGGGAGCGCCCACTCACGTACTGATTCCTCTATACAATATTTATATATTTACAAACCAAATCTGATTTGCACTGTATCCACCGTTGAGGCAAGAATACTAATGATCAGGCCTTGCCCACCCTCAGACCTAACCTAGAATAAAGCAGGAACAGGAAATGGGAGGATGGATGGCACTGGAGTTTGGGAGGTTAAAATACTGGTGGTGCCATGGAGAGGAGCATGTACTCAGGGGCAGGGGCTAGACCCAGCAAGCTCAGTGTCAGCACTAAACAATCATTTGGAAAAGTTGGTGGCCTGCTGCTGATGACCTTTTTGATGAATAAAGATTTGACTTATATTTACAATTAGGTGAAGAAACAGATGAACATGATTTTTCACCAGAGCAGGAATCAGTACGGGGGAACTGTGCGACTGGCTGCGTTTGATGTGATTCTGAATAACCATCCCTCAGCCATGGAGTTGAAAAATATCTTGCTGTCCATCGGAGAAATTGAATCGGAACTGTCTAAGTTTATCGTTGCAAAACTGCAGAATATTCTACGCTCTGACTACCATCCAGCAAGGTGAGAGCTGAGTAGACAGTCACTTGGAAATTCCTGTTCCTCTCTCACAGCCATAAGCTAAGAGCTTTTAAGAGAGCCGATTCTTCAGTGGGTGTATATACCATCTGGTTTCAGACTGGCAGCTAAAGTGTTAGAAATCCCTCCCCAGCAGTGGGCACCTTATTGATGGGTAGGGCTGTGCCAAAACAGTTCAGAGGCTGCAATTTCTAACTCTTGCAATGTCTGTTTGAAGGTAGATTTGAGCCTTGGCACTGCCATTTGCTAGGGGAAGGAGGCAGGTCCCAAATACATCCCATTTGGAATAGGGATCCATCCCATTCAAACTGATCCACATCGTTGTCAAGTTATCTGAGCCAACCAGAGAGACGGAGTTACAATGGGAACATATGCTTTTACATGTAGCCTGGGGATCTCTGGATAGCAATGGTCAAGGCTTCAGTTATCTTCCCATCACGTGGCTGACTGGGAATCTTTCCCTGACATTGGCATGTGTTGGAAAGATTTACCATCCACCAAACCTGCTTGGCCATGGTAAGAACGCATCTTTCTTGTCCATCAAAGGCTAGAGTGGCGTTTGAATCCCAAGCTTCTGGTTCAGAGGCAAGGACACTACCCGCTGCGATAACAAGGTGTAGAGCTGGATGAACACAGCAGGCCAAGCAGCATCAGAGAAGCAGGAAAGCTGACGTTTCAGGCCTAGACCATTCTTCAGAAAACCTGCGATAGGCCACTGCGCCAGCTGACCAGGATTTGGGACCCAGTTGAACATCTCATTGATGTAGGCCTAGAGATTTTTTTTTATTCATTCACAGGATGAGGGCATTGCTGGCTCGGCCAGCATTTATTGCCCATCCCTAATTGGCCAGAGGGCCGTTAGGACTCAACCACGTTGCTACGGGTCTGGAGTCACATGTAGGCCAGATGAGGTGAGGATGGCAATTTCCCTTCCAAAAGGACATTAGTGAACCAGATGAGTTTTTCCAACAATAAACAATGGATTGATGGTCATCATTATACTCTTAGATCCAGGTATTTATTGAATTCAAATTCCACCATCTGCCGCGGTGGTTTTGAACCCAGGTCCCCAAAACCTTATCTGGGTCTCTGGATTAACAGTCCAGTGATAATACCACTAGGCTACCATCTTCCCCATCAGATGTAGAATCAGGCCATTCAGCCAATCTGTGATGGTGTCTGTGCTCCACACAAGGCTCCCTAACCCAGTTTGTCTTACTGCACGGAATAATCATCCATTTTGTTCTCCCTTACATCATTATTGAGCTTATCCTTATCACCTCAACCACGTCACATGGTAGCCAGGTCCAAAGTCTTGCCCTATTGTAAGAACAGATGTTTTTCCTGAATTTCCAGTTGGATTAATGGTGATTTTCCTTGTACTTAGGGTCCCGATGTTTGGAATGCCCTAACTTCCTCCAACAAATCTCCACTTAAATCCCTTCGAAAAACACACTCTTTAAACATCTTATCAGCCCACCCGCCCCTCCCCCACCCAGCTTCTCTATTCCAGAGTGATCAACCTGTTCCTGGCATGTGTAACCTCAAAGCTCCTATCACCTTTGTGAAATATTCCTTTTGTCCCGTCACTAAAGTATCTATGGGTGGAATCTCATAGGGCCTTGAGCAATGTGGGCTCCTGGTGAGACGTATGACAGAATCGAGAGACAAGTGCAGAGGGTCCATCCATGCCAGGAGAAACTTGTGCCACCTTTTACGCTTTTTACAAGCAGCGTGAAGAGATTTTCACTCGGCAGCCCACTGTAGCCCACATCATTTTGACCACCATGAGGCTCCACCCATTGTTTTAGGGCACCATTGAAGGGTCAACATCATAGGCCCCTTGGTAAGCATTAAGAATTGATCTTTATTATTGGGTTGCCCTAATTTCTGGTTGATATTTTCAAGCCCTTAATTTCTCTTGATGATTATGCTGTAGACTGGGTGCAGTCAAAAGGCACACAGCAGACAGTGGGACTGCTGGTGAGATAGTCCAGGAATGCGATGACCTGCTCTGTGTATAGCTGCATTGTGGTTACATGCTCCTCTATCATTGACTTGGAAAACGGAGATGATGCAAAAGATTCAACCAGCAATGTGTTTCTTATATTCACTCGTGGGATGTGGGCTTAGCTAGATGGGTCAGCATTTATTGCCCGTCCCTAGTTGCCCTTGAGAAGATGGTGAGCTGCCATCTTGAACCGCTGCAACCCATGTGCTGTAGGTTGACCTACAATGCCCTGAGGGAGGGAATTCCAGGATTTTGACCCAGTGACACTGAAGGAACAGCGATATATTTCCACGTCAAGACGGTGAATGGTTTGGAGGGGAACTTGCAGGTGGTGGTGTTCCCACGTACCTGCTGCCCTTGTCCTTCTAGATGGAAATGGTGGTGGATTTGAAAGGTGCTTGCTAAAGATCTTTGCCCTATTGCAGAGGCAAATCACACAATAAAATAACTGTTTCTCATGGAATTCCAAACCTGTGCAGTAGTTAAAATAGACGTAATTTCCTCGTCATGAACCTGGGCAGTTGCATCTTTGCATTCGCCTCATAATATGAGGGGAATTAATTTGAAGCACTGCATTTAGATGGTCAGGAAACAGGGTTTAGTATCCCCAGAAGTATCTACAAAGGTCTTTGGCCAGTGTATATGAGCTATCTATCAGAATTCAGAAGCTAAAATGTCTCCACTACAAGGCCTCAACATGTAGTCACAGGGTCAAACTTGGAAGAATTAAGTTTGTAACAATGTGAATTGTTCACTTTCCACATGAGCTGTCCTTGTAACTTCCATTCAAACCTGTCAAGTGTACTGTCTGGAGATTTTCGCACATGAGGAGTTATACATTGACTGCCACTTAAGACCACAAAGAAAGATAATTCATCTCATTTGTGTTATATACTGATAGAATCGCATAGTTCCATTCTTCTATGTTATATTTTCAATTGAATGCAATTCCATTCCCTACATTCAGAATGACAGTCATTCCTGGAAATTGTGTGAGAAACTTTGACCTTGACCAAAACCCTTTTATTTTCTGTAGCAAATTAATTCACAAAGCCCTGAAAGACACAATGATCTATAACTACCACCGACTATCCAGAACTGGGAGTTCATCCTCCTCCTCAGGCTATTTAGCAGGTAAAAGGATAGCAACTGACATATAATGTGGAGTTATTAGTTTCCGTTTTCTTCCGCATACAACATAATTGTTCAAAGAAACCTGTTTCCATGTAATTTCTTTCTATATAAGTTACTAAAGATATGGTGACCTCATACAACATGGATTTAATCTTTGGAGACAGTGGTGTCTTGGAGCAGAGTCAGTCTGATTTCATAGTATCTACGGGGAAAAATAAACTTCTCGCAAGCCAGGTATGTTCACTTGCTTTCTTCATCTGCTTGGCTTTATATTTAAGTTGGTGTCTGTTTACCCATGATGTGGAGGTGCTGGTGTCAGACGGGGGTGGACAAAGTCACATGAAACCAGGTTATAGTCCAACAGGTGTATTTGAAATCACAAGCTTTCGCAGCGCTGCTCCTTTTTCAGGTGAACAGGGTAGGCAATGGCCTAGTGGTATTATCGTTAGACTATTAATCCAGAAACCCAGCTGATGTTTTGGGGACCTGGGTTCAAATCCCACCACGGCAGATGGTGGAATTGGAATTCAAAAAAAAGAAGTCTGGAATTAAGAATCTACTGATCACCATGAAATCATTGCCGATTGTCGGAAAAACCCATCTGGTTCACTAATGTCCTTCAGGGGGAGGAAAATCTGCCATCCTCATCTGGTCTGGCCTACATGTGACTCCAGACCCTCAGCAATGTGGTTGACTTTCAACTGCCCTCATGAAATGGCCTAGCAAGCCACTCAGTTTTACCATTTGCTACAAAGACTCAAAGAAATGAAACCGGACGGATCACCTGGCATCGACCTGGGCACCGGAAAACACAACGGCAGAAACAGTCCTGTCGACCCTGCAGAGTCCTCCTGTCTAACATCTGGGGGTTCGTGCCAAAACTGGGAGAGCTGTCTCACAGACTAGTCAAGCAACAGCCTGACATAAAAACCGAAAGAACTGCGGATGCTGTAAATCAGGAACAAAAGCAAAGATGCTGGAAAAGCTCAGCAGGTCTGGCTGCATCTGTGAAGGAAAAAACAGAGTTAACGTTTCAGGTCCGGTGACCCTTCCTCAGAACTGGCATACTTACAGAATCATACCTTACGAACAACGTCCCAGACACCACCATCACCACCCCTGGATGTGTCCTGTCCCACCGGCAGGACAGACCTAGCAGAGGGGGCAGCACAGTGGTACACAGTCGGGAGGGAGTTGCTCTAGGAGTCCTCAACATTGACTCTGGACCTCGTGAAGTCTCATGGCTTCAGGTTAAACATGGGCAAGGAAACCTCCTGCTGATTACCACGTACCGTCCTCCCTCAGCTGATGAATCAGTTCTCCTCCATGTTGAACAACACTTAGAGGAAGCACTGAGGATGGGAAGGGCACAAAATGTACTCTGGGTGGGGGATTTCAATGTCCATCACCAAGAGTGGCTCGGCAGCAGTACGACTGATCGAGCTGGTCGGGTCCTAAAGGATATAGCTGCTAGACTGGGTCTGCGGCAGGTGGTGAGGGAACCAACAAGAGGGAAAAATATACTTGACCTCATCCTTACCAATCTGCCAGCTGCAGATGTATCTGTCCATGACAGTATTGGTAAGAGTGACCATCGCACAGTCCCTGTGGCGACCAAGTCCCACCTTCACATTGAGAATAGCCTCCATCGTGTTGTGTGGCACTATCACCATGCTAAATGGGACAGACTTCACACAGATCTAGCAACTCAAGACTAGGCATCCATGAGACACTGCGGGTCCTCAACAGCAGCAGAATTGTACTCCAGCACAATCTGTAACCTCATGGCCGGCATATCCCCCACTCAACCATTACCATCAAGCCAGGGGATCAACCCTGGTTCAATGGAGAGTGCAGGAGGGCATGCCAGGAGCAGCACCAGGCACACCTGAAGATGAGGTATCAACCTGGTGAAACCACCAAACAGGACTACTTGCGCGCCAAACAGCAAAAACAGCAAGTGATAGACAGAGCGAAGCAATCGCACAACTAACGGATCAGATCTAAGCTCTGCAGTCCTGCCACATTCAGTGGTGAATGGTGGTGGACAATTAAACAACTCACTGGAGGAGGAGGATCCACAAATATCCCCATCCTCAATGATGGAAGAGCCCAGTACAGCAGTGCAAAAGATAAGGTTGAAGCATTCGCAGCAATCTTCAGCCAGAAGTGCTGAGTGGACGATCCATCTCGGCCTCCTCCAGTGGTCCCCAGCATCACAGATACCAGTCTTCAGCCAATTCGATTCACTCCATGTGATATCAAGAAACGGTTGGAGACACTGATACTGAAAAGGCTATGGGCCCTGACAACATTCCAGCAATAGTACTGAAGACTTGTGCTCCAGAACTTGCCGCTCCCCTAGCCAAGCTGTTCCAATACAGTTACAACACTGGTATCTACCCGACAATGTGGAAAATTGCCCAAGTATGTCCTATACATACAAAGCAGGACAAATCCAACCCGGCCAATTACCGCCCATCAGTCTCCTCTCGATCAGCAGTAAAGTGGTGGAAGGTGTCAGTAACAGTGTTATCAAGCAGCACCTGCTCAGCAATAACCTGCTCAGTGACGCCCAGTTTGGGTTCCTCCAGGGCCACTCTGCTCCTGACCTCATTACAGCCTTGGTTCAAACATGGACAAAAGAGCTAAATTCCCGATATGAGGTGTGAGTCACAGCCCTTGATATCAAGGCTGCATTCGACCGAGTGTGGCATCTAGGAGCCCTAGCAAAACTGGAATCAATGGGTATCAGGGAGCAAACTCTCCAGTGGTTGGAGTCATACCTGACATATTGGAAGATGGTCATGGTTGCTGGAGGTCAATCATCTCAGCTCCAGGACATTACTGCAGTTGTTCCTCAGGGTAGTGTCCAAGGCCCAACCATCTTCAGCTGCTTCATCAATGACCTTCCCTCTATCATAAGGTCAGAAGTGGGGATGTTCGCCGATGATTGCACAATGTTCAGCACGATTCATGACTCCTCACATACTGAAGCAGTCCATGTTCAAATGCAACAAGATCTGGACAATATCCAGGCTTGGGCTCACAAGTGGCAAGTGACATTCGCGCCACACAAATGCCAAGCTGTGACCATCACCAATAAGAGACAATCTAACCACCACCCCTTGACATTCAATGGTGTTACCATCACTGAATCCCCCACAATCAACATCCTGGGGGTTACCATCGACCAGAAACTCAACTGGACTCACAACATTAACAGAGTGGCTACAACAGCAGGTCAGAAGCTGGGAATACTGCTGCAAATAACTCCTCTTCTGACTCCTCAAAGCCTGTCCACCATCTACAAGGCTCAAGTCAGGAGTGTGATGGAATACTCCCCACTTGTCTGGATGAATGCAGCCCTAGCAACACTCAAGAAGCTTGACACCATCTGGAACAAAGCAGCCCATTTGATTGGCACAACATCCACAAACATTCACTCCCTCCACCACCGACGCTCAGTAGCAGCAGTGTGTACTATCTACAAGATGCACTGCAGAAATTCACCAAAGATCCTCAGACAGCACCTTCCAAACCCATGACCACTTCCATCTAGAAGGACAAGGGCAGCAGATATATGGGAACACCACCACCTCCAAGTTCCCCTCTAAGTCACTCACCATCCTGACTTGGAAATATATCACCGTTCCTTCACTGTCGCTGGGTCAAAATCCTGGGATTCCCTCCCCAATAGCACTGTGGGTCAACCCACAGCAGGAGGACTGCGGCGGTTCAAGAAGGCAGCTCACCACCACCTTCTCAAGGGCAACTAGGAACGGGCAAGAAATGCTGGTCAGCCAGCGACACCCACATTCCACAAAATGAATAGAAAAGCAGCGCTCCGAAAGCTTGTGATTTCAAATAAACCAGTTGGACTATAACCAGGTGTTGTGTGACTTCTGACGGTGTCTGTTTAAGGTTATGGTCTAATTATTCTAATATTGTTTTATAAAACACATAGCCAAAATGTTAACGTGAGTGAAAAAGGATAGTGGGTTTTTTTTTGCTTTGGAGCATGTGAGTGTTTAATACAATTTCCGACACTGGTGAGCTCATTGAGGGTAACCTCCAGCCTCTGAATCATATTGCGTACGTACAAATACATGTTTATTTGGCACTAATCCTCCACCTCTTGTACCAGGGAGCCTGCAGATTGTAACACAAGTTATTGGCTTTAGCCTTATTTATTGCACATCCATCAGTTTAAAGAAAAATTGCATTGAAATTTTAGTCAATAAAATGCCTGTCAGTAGGTGTGATGAGAAGTACAAAAGAGAGCATGTTATAGAGTCATAGAGATGTAAATCACGGAAACAGACCCTTCATTCCAACTTGTCCTAAATTAAAATCCTAAATTAATGTAGTCCCATTTCCCAGCATTTGGCCCATATCCCTTCAAACCCTTCCTATTCATTTACCCATCCAGATGCATTTTAAATGATGTAATTGTACCAGCCTCCACCACTTCCTCTGGCAGCTCATTGCATATGTGCACCACCCTCTGTGTGAAAAAGTTGCCCCTTTGGACCCTTTTAAATCTTTCCCCTCTTACATTAAACCTATGCCCTCTCCTTTTGGACTCCTTGAACCTGGGGAAAAGACCTTCGCTATTTACCCAATCCATGCCCCTTTGTAAACCTCTATAAGATCACCCCTCAGCCTCTGACACTGCAGGGAAAATAGCCCCAGCCTATTCAGCCTCTGCCTATGACTCAAACCCTCCAACCCTGGCAACATCCTTGCAAACCTTTTCTGAACTCTTTCAAGTTTCACAACATCCTTTCTATAGCAGGGAGACTAGAATTGCATGCAGTATTCTAAAAGTGGCCTAACCAATGTCCTGTACAGCCATAACATGACCTCCCAAACTCCTATACTCAATGTACTGACCAAAAAAAGGCAAGCATACTGAACGCTTGATTGATGTTGATAGCGCTGTGTTCTCTTGGTTTCTCACTGCTAGAGTTGTAATGACTTCATGGATAAATCCTGGTGTTTTACACGGCTGTAACTGTAGTATACTTGGTCCACCTGCTGAGCAAGTTTTGACAGTTTAAGTTACTCAAACATTATGAGGTTATTCTGAGCCAGTATTCCTGTCAGATTATTTCTTTAATGTCATATGTAATTTATGACCACTTTCATAAGTTTCTGTTTCAGTTTTTCTGCAAGGGAACATTTGTTTGATGAGGATGACTCTCGGTTAGGATTGTGGCTATCCAGTGTGTGACTATAACTGTTTGCCGTTGTTAGCCCAACAACCCTGGCGTGTTCGTCAGAAATTTTCACAGAAATCCCGCCTGCGGTGCCTTTGTGGGATTCCGGAAGATACAGCAGTAGCAGCTGATTGGGAGAATGTCACAGGGATTAATGCTCCATTACCTACCCCCATCATGGCAATGACCCTGCTGAAAGATTACACTCACCACCGCTGTCACAATGATGTCACCAACATTTAGACCCACTATCCACAATATAAACTTGTCGTGGTGGTACACTCCGTTTCTGCCATACTGTGTCTGTACAAGCTTAGGGGAGCCTCGAATAGTAACAATTTCACTTAGTGCATACAGGCAACAACTTATTATTGTGTTTAGCATGTATTTTTTAAAAATATTTGCCATGTCTGACTTTCCAGGGACTTCATCTGGCTTCATAATAGGAGCAAATTGCTGCAGATGCTAGAATCTGACAGAAAACAAAAAAATGATGAATAATGAGTCGTCTAGACTCGAAACGTTAGACTGTGCTCTCTCCATGGATGATGCCTAACCCGCTGTGATCACCAGCATTTTTTGTTTCCATTTAATCTGGCTCCATCCTAAATTTGAGAAGATGCAGCCACTCCGTTTATATCTCTTTTACTACATACATCTCTTCACATTTGGAACAGGTATCAATCGTAGCCCAAGGTCTCGACTCATTTTTCAGGGAAAGTTCGAAGGAAGTTGAGGATGATGATGATGGTGAAGCCACGGCCAGTATGTCCGTGATCCTCTTTGATGTTCAGCTCCCTCCTGTTGTGTTTTTCCAAGGATATAGCGACTTAGTGGAAAAGCTCTGGTCCCTCACTGAAGAACCCACAAGCATAATTAAAGGATCCATCTTAGTTATTGACCATCTACAGGTAACAAAGCCCAATGCAACCATCTTATTACAAACTAGAATGCTATAAACCACAATGAGCTGTGGCTCAGATGGTAGAACTGTTAGCTTTGAGTCAAAAGGTTCTGCTCAGGGAGTGCTGCACTGTTGGAGGTGTCTACTTGGGTGGATCCTGTGACATCCTTTCGAAGAAAAGTAGGGGTGATATCCTGATTATTGTAGCTAATAGTTATGTTTCAGTCAACATCACAAAAAGTAAATTATCTGATCATTATTGTTCATGGAGCTTTCTTTGTGAAGATTGGTGCTGCTTAACATAACAAATGATACATTTCAGAAAAATCTTTCAGTGTCGTAAATTGCTTTGGGACACCTTGTAGTTGTAGATAAAAACTATGCACACTTTTCTTTTGAACACAGCTCATAATAAATATTTCCATTGATCTGTAGATATCAAGAGTGACAAACAAGATTGCTGAAATCAGAATTATTACTTATCCAGTCAGTACAATCTTGCATTAATAATGCAATTATAACGTAGGAACAGTGTGTTACAAAATACCAAGTGAAGCCAAAATAATAACAAACCCTCAAAACCAAAAAAATTGCATTTAAAGGCATGTTTTACTGCAAGCAAAACAAAGCTTTTCACTCTTCTTAGGTACAAGTGACAATAATAAATCAAATGAGATGAAATGAAAATATAGTTTTTGTACATGGCAAAGATGGACAAAATAATTGACATTCAGTATGAGATTACTGTTACAGTTTAACTTTGATGTTGTGACATACCTTTCTGAAAGATTCCTCATCCTGGTTTAACTTTAGTTCCCTGTTTTAAATAACCATCACCTTTTAATTATTCTGTAAAGAACCGATTTAAGATGGTGAAAAGGGAGAACAATTATCTATAATGCATCTCAGTTCACAGAACATCCAAAATCTCTTTTCATCCCTCAATTATATTGAAATACAGTTCTGAAGATAAATACGGGAGCCAATTTGTATACAACAATAGCAACTGGACGAATAGTTTCAGAGGCATTAATTTAGGGAAGAATGTTGGCCAAGTCAGTGAAAGAATTCTTTACTCCTTTTCCAGCATCCTAGAGAATCTTTTACATATGCCTGAGGAGGCAGATTTATATCATGCCTGAGTTTTAGCAAATCTGACAATACAGCAGTCCTTCATTACAACAGTCAGGCCAATCTGAGGACTTGAGTCTATTTACAATCTTTTGCTAAGAGTTTGTTAATATTGTGTATACTCAACCATGTGGAATTGTTATCTACTTGCACCATATTATCAGGGAGTTCAAATGGCTGGATTGAAAAAACAAAAGGAGCTTAGAGACACAATAGGTTAGTCTGTCTGAGTGCTGGTCCCTCAAAGTGAAGGTGCTCTCACTCATGGCAGAAGCTTGCATACACTGTTGTTTTGTAGCTCCCACACTATTCTGACTGTCCTGGAAACTCTCCCACTCTTACCACTTGCTTTGGAAGGCAGCTGGATGGGTACATGAAGGGTTTAGGGGGATATGGGCCAATTGCTGGCAAATGGGACTAGATCAGTTTAGGATATCTGGTCGGCACAGACGAGTTGGACAGAGGGTCTGTTTCTGTGTGTATAACTCTATGGATGTAGAGGAAAGAATTACAACTTGACAATCATCCTGGTTTACCTGCTTTATGGCAGATTTCCACAATCATTGAATCTTGAGAAGGGACTTGAACCCAGATCTGAGCACACTACCTACTGAGTTGTTGCAAGACTACCTCAGTTAGTCTGCATATTGGGACAGAACAGACAGATTTATGTTTGGGATGCAGCCCCATATTCAAAGGTGAAAGAGATGAACTGCTATGTTCATGAAAAGATCAGAATCAGTGGCATTCTCTATGAAACAGAGAGGAACCATGAATAAAATAATGTTAAAATAATGATGAACAGCAAAGAGCCTATAAATTGCTGAGAAAATGCAAAGCGTGAGAAAATAAAAAAGAGATGGGAAACAAGGGTCAAAGGTTTAAATTTAAAAGAGGTTTGAAATTGAGTAGATTGCAAAAGTCAATTTTCTCCTTGTGCCATTGCAGATTAGCGTCTTTCTATTCCGGAAGCCTGGGGAGTTTTAAACTGCACTGAATGTAATAGAGGTCATGCATTTCCCCTGTCGCTCCACACAGATTGAAAACACTTATTATTGCTGCAGAGATCCAATGCATTCAATTTCCTCTCTCCCTTTAGGCAATCCAACTGCAGTCAGGGATTCAAGCAAGCACTGAATTCCAAGGAGGGCTTGGGATTGATGTTTCAGGCACCATTGCACTCAGCTTGTGGAGTCAACAATCTACAACTAACATCAGAAATCGGTATGTAAATTAAAATATTAAAGACAGTGGAGGAGTCCAAATCTCATTGTCGTTTTCTATTGAAGTAACACTGACATAATTCAGTGGACAATTATTAAACTTAGCCTTAGCTAAGCTGCTCAAGTGCGCCAGTTTAGTGTGTCTTTGATTAGATTCAGTGCTTCACATTCACACTGTTGATCAGGTAGTCGCATTGGGTGAAACAGTAGAATTAGTGGCTAATGCTCCGGGACATGGGTTCAAATCCCACCATAGCAGCTGGTGAAATTTAAATCTGACTAAAGTACGGAATTGAAAGCCAGGCTCAGTGATGGCAACCATGATGACTAGCATCAGTTGGTATCAAAACACATCATTTTGGGTAAGCAATCTGCCATTCTTACCGGGTATGGCCTACATATCACACAATGTGGTTGACTGTTAGAAAAGGCCCAGAATCCCATTCATTTCAGAGGCAGTTAGAAGTGATCAATAACATGCTAGTCCCACCAAAGAATAAATGGTTTGAAAAATCTTTTCTTTCTGTGACTCAATGTCGCATTTTGTTTGATGAAACACTCCTTGGCACAGTTTGCTGTATTAGAGAGAGAATTGGTTGTTTGCCAGGTTCCCCCAATGCTTGAGCTTTAGGCAACCAGATATTTTCATTCCTGCACCTATTTATTGAGAAATAGATTTTCGTCTTTACCACCTGATAATCTAGCAGTCAATTAGCTGCCCTTCCCAGAATTCACCATTTCCAGTCCATTGGTTTAGTTGCCTCACCTATGAATCTACTATCTTTACCGAACAGGCCAATGAGCCACTGGCAATCTACGCTCCCACATGAGGACTGACTACAAATCTTCAATGTCAACTGTCACAGTGGAGCTTCAGACTCTGGCCACTAGATGCTGCTCTGGAGGTGGATTATGAAGTGGCCTTCATTTTAGCAGGTGTAGGCCATTCAGTCCTTCAAGCCTGCTCCACCATTCAGAATAAGCATGGCCGACACTCTGCCTCAATGCCTTATTCATACTTTCTCCTCATACCCCAAATTGCCCTCAAAATCTAAACATTTATCGACTCTTTCTTGAATATATTTAGAGACTTGGTCTCCACTGCCTTCTGTGGTAGAGAATTCCATGGGTCCATAGTCTAAGCAGACGGTAAGGCTGTCCTCTTATTAAAGAGAGATGACTAGTGGTACTTTATTTTAACCTGAGGGTCACCACACCTGAGGCGAGGGGAGGGTTTGAGAAGGAGAATCCTTCATTGTAACCTCAGCCGGTGATGGGAATTGAACCCATACTGTTGGTGTCATTCTGCAATGCAAACCCTACCTTTTGAGTGAAGAGATTTTTCCTCACCTTTGCTAAAAATGGTCTACCCCGTAGCTTGAGAATGTGTCTGCTGTTGTAGATAGCCCCCACAACCAGCAGAAACACCCTCCCAAATCAAGTCCATCCAGCCCTGGTAGAGTTTTAAATGTTTCAGTCAAATCGCTGCTCATCCATCTGAACGCTACTGGATTCAGACCTGCCGAACCAACCACATGGAACAGTCCTGCCATTCTCGGTAACAGCCTAGTGAACCTTTGCGGTACTTTCCTCCTTGGTTTGGGAGACCAAAACTGCACACAATTCTCCAGATAATGACTCACCATGGCCCTCTGTCACCATTTTGTACCTGTGTTGCCATTTTGCAGAGTCAAGGCAGATCAGTGTTGAATAGAGGAGCAGGCTCATCAAGCCAAATGGTCTGAAAGTCCTCAAGTTCTTAAACAAGCTGTCCACACATACACAGCAAGATCCCATAAACAGGCACTGAATAATGAGTGGGTAATCAGCTTCACTGATGTTGGTTGAATTGTATAATTTATTTATATACTTTTGATTTGAAGTGTGCCAATATACATTTTTACCAACTGCAAATGCCTCCACTGTAGAAACTCCGTCAAGGGAGTGGACTGCATACAGCAACAATAACAATCATTTGCGTTTATATAGACTCTTTAACTGAGCAACACATCTCACAATTACTATCAAACAAAATTCAACATAGAGCTACATAAAGAGCTATTAGGACAGGTGACCAAAAACATTGTCAAAGAGATAAGTTTTAAAGTAGGAGAAAGACATAAAGTTGGAGAGATTTAGGGAGGTGATTGCAGAACTTTGGGACAAAACAGCTAAATGGCCTTTGGCACAGCAAAAACAATCAGAGATGTACAATTGACAGATCACATAGTCGATGTCTCTGCTACCCAGAGTTTACTTTTCAAACCAGTCAAGCAAATGCTTAGGCTGACAAGTTGCAAAAAACCTTGGCAACACACATGTACCAAGTTTTACGAAGTTGGGTAGAATACTTGTGGATTGGAAGGCAGGACATTAAAATTTGTTTGTAAAATGATGGAGGGGAGGTGGTGCATGGCCCCTTTAAAAGATGACATGCTTTTTCTAGACTTGTAGATTTAAAAAAATGTCTGCAGGTACACAGAGAGTTCCTGAAATTGAAAAATTTGTGTCAAAAGGCTGTATGGTTAGCAATCCAGGCAGTAGTCTTGTTTTGTTATTAAGGCAACCAGTTTGAATCAGCCAATTAATTTAAAGCAGGCACTTAGCGACTAAAAACCAATTAAATTTAAATCTGATAGTTTTGACAACCTAGGACCAATCCTACTGTAAGAAATTGATAGGTCATCAAAGTTATAAAAGAAGAGGGTATTTGAAAATTGCTGTGAGAGCAACTGCCATCTAATAGAGTTAATAACCCATCAGCTCTAAAGAGAAAATCACTGCTCTCACAGAATTCTCTAAGCTCTCAGAGTAACCATCATCTAAGTAAAAGTATAGCGGCACTCTTGGCTAATATTCCTGACACAAGAATTTGACAGAGGATGGTGATCCTGACTGAAGAACAGTAGACAAGGCCCAGAACATTCCAGAAGACATATCCTGGCTGTAATTTTGAGAGACTAAGTTTTAATTTTTTTTTAAATTGTTTTGGTTTATATAAGTGGGACTTAGAACAGCTTACCGTTAGAATTTTGTTTTATTTAGGAATAGTTAGTAGTTGAAGAGGAATTGTTTGGTTTGTTAGTAGTACTGTTAATTTGCTCACCATCAGAGTTAGATTAAAAAAAAAACTTTTACGTGTTGATTACAGAGTGACTGTCAGGAGTTCATTTCATTTAACTTTCTCTTTATAACAGCTTGAGGGTGAGAGGCAGGTTATTCCATGTTTCATGCTTTTTTGAACAGATTATAGGGTGGGGCAAGCCTCCCTAGGTGTTTCGGTTTTAGTTATCAAGGGGAGTCGACCTCTGCTTTATAACCCAAGCAAATGACCATCTTCAACAAGAGAGCATCTAACCATTGCCCCTTCACATTCAAAGGCATTACTATCACTGAATCCTCCACTATCAACATCTTGAGGGTCCACATTGACCCGAAACTGAACTTTACTAACTGTATAAATACAACGGCTACAAGAACAGATCAGAGGCTAGAAATCCTGCAGCGGGTAACTCGTCCTGACTCCCCAAAACCTATTTACAAGGCAGAATTGAGGAGTGCAATGGAATGCTCTCACTTGCCTGGCCGGGTGCACCTCCACCAACACTCGAGAAGCTTGACACTATTCAGGACAAAGCAGCCCACCTGACTGGCACCACGGCTATAAGCATCCATTGTCTCCACCACGAACGCTCAGGAGCAGCAGTTTGTACTATCTAATGCAGAAATTCACCAGGTTCCTTAGACAGCACCTTCCAAACCCACGACCACTTCCATCTAGAAGGACAAGAGCAGCAGATATATGGGAACACCACCGTCTGCAGGTTCCCCTCCAAGCCACTCACCATCCTAACTTGGACATATATCGCCATTCCTTCAGTGTTGCTGGGTCAAAATCCTGGACAGATTTCCAGAAGGTATTTATTTTAATTTAGATTTAGATTTTATTGTCACGTGTAGTCAAGTACAGGAGTACAGTCAAGAGTGTATAATGTCACTACACATGGCGCCATCTCAGGTACAAGGGTTCCTATGTACAAAAAAACCTAGGTACAAAGTAGTAAAAGAAACAAAGTTAAAAAAATTAAACATTACATTCATAGAATAAGTAGAAAAATAAGGTAATAGTTAACATTAAAGTCCTTATTTATAAAATGTAGAAAAACAAAGGAATAATGTTAAAAGTTCAACAGTCTTTGATGAGTCCTCAGCTTAGCTTGCTCTCAGGGAGACCTGAGTTGTCTGTTCTTGACACTACTGCTGCAAATACTAGGGGACCTCCCTCCACACTTGCTCTTCCCACGTTGGGCTGCCATGAAGGGGAATAGTTACTGCATAGTTTAGGAGGTAGCATATCGGCATGGCTAGAAGATCGGCTGGTTAACAGGCAGCTGAGAATGGGCACAAATGGGTCTTTTTCAGGTTGGCAAGGTGCAGCGTTGTGCAAGGGGTCAGTGCTGGCACCTCAAATGCTTACAATATACACAAGTGGGACAAAAGGTGTGGTTGCCAAAGTTGCTGATGATACAAAGATAGGTAGGAATATAAATTGTAAAAAGGACACAAGGAAGTTACAAAAAAAAATGGGTTAAATCAGTGTGCAAAGACATCACAAATGGAGATTAATGGAGTATTTGGCAGGAAGAATAACCAAGAAGTGTATTCTCTAAGTAGTGAGAGATTGCAGAGCTCTGAGAAGCGGTGTGATCTGGATGCCCTAATGCATGAATTGTAAAAGGTTAGTGTGCAGCTGTAGCAAACAATTAGCAAAGTTCATAGAATGTTATCATTTAGTGCGAGATGAATAGAAAACACAAGTAGGAAAGTTATGCTTTAGTTGTACAGGGCATGGCTGGGAGAGCATCTGGAGTATGGTGCATAGTATTGGTCGCTTTATGTAAGAAAAGGTGTAAATGCATTGGAAGCAGTTCAGAGATGGTTTACTAGACTAATACGTGGAATGGGAGAGTTGATTTATGAGGAAAAGTCATAGCGTCAGAGTCATACAGCAAGGAAACAAAGCCTTTGGTCCAACTTGTCCATGCTGATCAGGTTTCCCAAACTAAACTAGTTCCATTTGCCTGCATTTGGCCCATATCCTTCTAAACCTTTCCTATTCATGTACCCACCCAAATGCCTTTTAAATGCTGTAACTGTACCTGCATCTACCACTTCCTCTGGCAGCTCATGCCACATACAAACCAACTTGTGTGTGAAAGGTTGACCCTTGGGTTCCTTTTAAATCTTTCTCTTCTCACCTTAAAGTTATGCCCTCTAGTTTTGAACTTCCCTACCTTAGGGAAAAAGACCTTGGCTCTTCACCTTATCTATACCCCTCGTGAATTTATAAACCTCTATAAGGTCACACCTTGACCTCCGACGGCCTAGCATAAAATGTCCCAGCCTATCTGGCCTCTCCCTGTAACTCAAACCTTCCAATCCCGGCAATATCCTAATAAATCTTTTCTGCATCCTTTCCAATTTAATATCCTTCCTATAGCAGAACTGGACACAGTACTGCAAAAGTGGCCTCACCAACTCTGTACAGCCTTAACATAATGTCCCAGCTCTTATACTCAGTGCTCTGACCTGTGAAGGCAAGCGTACCAAATGCCTTCTTCACCACCATGTCTACCTCTGCCACCACATTCAAGGAACCTGCACGCCTAGTTCGACAACATTCCCCAGGGCCCTACCATTAAGAGTTTGACAGGTTAAGCTTGTATCCGCTGGAGTTTAGACAAATCAGAAGAGACCTGATTGAAACATAGGAGATCCTGAGAGATGTTGATAGAGTAGATGTGGATGGGATGTGTCCTGTTGTGAGAGAATCCAGAACTTGGGGTCACGGTTTAAAATTCGCAGGTCACCTATTTGACCCAGATGAGGCTTTTGTTTTTCTGGCAGAGAGTCATGAATCTCTGGAACTCTCTTCCTTAAAAGGTTGGTGGAAACAAAGTCTTGGAATACCCTTGTTAAGAAAGGCGTGAAAGGTTATCAGGGGTTGTCAGGAATGAGGGTCAGAGGTCACAGTCTGAACCCAGGCTCAAGAGGCTGTATGGCTTATTTCTGATTCTTGTGTTGAATTTGTTTTCTTTGTTTCTCCACGGGATGTGGATGTCATTGGCAAGGCCAGCATTTATTGGCTGGATGGCTGGTTTACGATGCAGAGTGATGCCAACAACATGGTTCATTTCATGCACCAGCTAAGAGTTACTCTGAAGGACTCTCTTACTCATTCTCTCCCTTTGCCTGAGGTGTGGTTACACTCAGGTTAAACCACCACGAGTTGTCTCTCTCTCTCTGTGATGAGGGAGCAGTAGTATGGTCTGACAGGAATTTGGCAACTTTACCTTTTATATGGTTATTCTATGCTGTGTTTGTTTTTGTCTGTAGTGTCGGGGGATGTGTAGGTCAGGTTGATTAGCCACAGGAAATACAGGGTTATAGTGTAGTGGGGTGGGTCTGGGTGGGATGCTCTTTGGAGGGATGGAGTGGACCCGATGGGCTGAATGGCCTGCTTCCACAGTGTAGGGATTCTGTAATTCTAAGATTTGTTCCTAATCACTAATTGCCCTTGAACTGAAAGGCTCACTTGCATACCCCAGAGGATGGTTAAGGTTCTGCTGTGGGTGTGGAGTCAGGCCAGTCCAGGATGGCTGATTTCCTTCCCAAAATGGACAACAGTGAACCAGACGAGTTTTTACAACAATCAATGGTAGTTTCATAGTCACCATTTTAAGACGAGCATTTAATGCTGGATTTAATTTAAATCTGCTGTGGTGAGATTTGAACCTGTGACCATGGAACATTAGCTGAGACGTTGGGCTTACTCCTCTAGTGACACTACTGCTATACGGTCCAAATATAACAAGGTCAGAAGTCATACAACACCAGGTTATAGGCCAACAGGTTTATTTGAAATCACAAGCTTTTGAAGTGCTGCTCCTTAATCAGGTGACCTGACTTCTGACTTTGTCTACCCCAGTCCAACACCGGCACCTCCACATCACAAAAATAACAAATACCTTTTCCATTGATCTGCAGGGGATCGTTAGTGATCAATTCAGTAATGAAGGTGGATACGCCCCTTCTGCAGGTGGGAGTGAACTGCAGTTTGGAAGCTGCAGCTTCTCTGGATTTTGTGAGTTCCGTTAAATTTTTGGAATCCCCAATTCTGATCTGTCTACAGTTGCTGAAGAAACCGTTCCCATACAGGTAAAACACCACAAATGTTGGTTATTTGCGCATTCAGTGGTAACCTGCTAAGCTTGCTGCATTTGTGGGAGTCATGGAGCTAAATTTAGTGGCCTCTCCCATGGCAGGTTTGATGCTGTGTGTTGGAGGTGGCATTTCATTGGGTGAGAGAGTGGGTCATAGGGAACCTGACTTCCTCATTCCCCCACCTGGATTAAGATGGGCCTTCACACCTCACCACCAATTGTAGCCTTCAATTAAAGTAACTAATGGCCTTCAGGGACCACATTCCTCTCCCATTATTATCAACCCAGCCATGGACATGGAGCTCCTAAACTGGGCATATGACAAGCTAATCACGGCATATTTGCCTGCAGGGTCTTGTATTCAACAGACACTTAGTGCCTGCCTGAGGGAACAGATCCTGGGAAGAGGGGGAACCTGCTGAGAGCTTTCATCACCCATCCCCCTGTACAGCTCACTCTTTGCCCTCCCACCATCACTCCCAAGCCTGGGATCCTGCTCAATCTGAGGCCCTTGTTGGGTGCAGTACCGGCAGTGGCCACTGCCTCCCTAGAGGAGTTACTGAGGGCTGAAGGCCACTGATTGGCTGATCTTGGCAGGCATGGCTTCTGCCCATGGGCTCCTTGATACCAGGGGAAGGACCCGGGGCTGGCCTGTTAACTGCTTGAGAGGCCACGAAATGTGGTGAACCTTCACAAAGAGAGGTGACACAGGAATCTCACTGGTAGTTGCAAGATTAACATCCTACAAGATTAGATCTATAGAGCCATTTATGTCAAAGTAGGAGGCCATTTGGCCCATTGCAGCAATGGGCTGAGCAGCAATCTAACAAATCCCTCCCCTCCCCCCCGACCCTTCCCCCACTGAATTCCTGGAGCCCTGCAAGTTTACTTCCTTCAAATGCCAATCTAATTCCCTTTTAAAATCAGTAACTGTTTCTGTTTCCATCACCTTCCGGGACAGTGAGTCCAAATCATTGTCACTCACAGCATGAAGAAAGGTTCCTCCACAGGACCTTCAGTATATAAGGCCTACTCCTTGTATCATCAGCTAAAATTTTGTACACCCCCAAACTCCCTTTACTCCAAAGAGAACAATTCCAGCTTTTTCAACCTAAAATCCCCAGGAACATTCTGGCAAATCCTGTCTGCACCCTCTCAGTTTTCCTTTGCCTTCTAAAGTGTGGTGACCAGAACTGGATGCAGAAATTCTCCAAAAATCCTCAGACTGCACTTTCCAAATGCAGACACTTCCATCTAGAAGGACAGGGACGACAGATACATAGGAACACTGCCACTTCCCCTCTAAGCCACTCACCATCCTGACTTGGAAGTATATTGTCGTTCCTTCACTGCTGCTGGGTCAAAATCCTGAAATTCCCTCTGTAGAGGCATTGTGGGTCAACGAGAGCAAATGGACTGCAGCAGTTCAAAAGGCAGCTCAGCACCGCCACGTCAAGGTCAACAGAGATAGAGAGGTGGCACAGTGGCTCAGTGGTTAGCACTGCTGCTTCACAGTGCCAGGGACCCAGGTTCAATTCCACCCTCAGGTGACCGTCTGTGTGGAGTTTGCACATTCTCCCTGTGTCTGCGTGGGTTTCCCCCCACAGTCCAAAGATGTGCAGGCTAGGTGGATTAGCCATGCTAAATTGCCAGTAGTGTTCAGGGATGTGTAGATTAGATGGATTACAGGGGGATGGGTCTGGGTGGGATGCTTTGAGGGTTGGTGTGGACTTGTTGAGCTGTAGGGATTCTATGATCTATGATCTAATGATAATGATCTAATTAAATGCTGGTCCATCCAGTGCCCACATCCCATGAATGAATAAACAAAGACTGTAATTGTGGCCTAACCAGTGTTCTTTTAAAACGTTCAGCATACCTTCTTTATTTTTGGACTTAGTACCTCTATGAAACTATGGATCCTGTAGGTTTCGCTTCTATTGATTTTTTTGTCAGATTCTTCATCTTTAGTAAAAACTCCCAGAACTTCTTGCATTTATTTTTGACCTGTTCTGTTTCTTGTCTAAAGAAACAGCCAGTGCTTCAAAGCCATGAGTCACAGCAAACTGTGGTTATTTTTAATCAACCTTTCGAGACATGTTACGACACGTCTCCAGGACATTTGGATTTGGACCCGGACCTTTTGGCTCATAATCAGGGGTAAAGTTTGACCAGGACAACTGGTCTGACCACCTTCAAACATTTATGTTCAGCTGAGCAGGCAGACAGAACACTGCATTCAAAAGATAGCGCTGTTGACAGTGCAGCACTCCAACAGCACTGCACAGAATTGTCAGCCTGGATAATGGGCTCAAGTGTCTTTGAGTGGAATCTGAACGCACAAGCTTCTGATGCAGAGGTGCATGCACCCTCACCTGACTAACTGCTGCCTCGCAACCTACAGATTGATGTTGATCCTATTCACCCTCTTAAGAGATTAGTGCCTATCTGGTTCAACTATCTTAAGTTCCTCAGACAGTACCTTCCAAACCCACGACCACTTCCACCTAGAAGGTCAAGGGCAGCAGATACATGGGAACACCACCCCCTGCAAGATCCCCTCCAAGCCACTCACCATCCTGACTTGGAAATATATTGCTGTTCTTTCACTGTCACTGGGTCAAAATCCTGCAATTCCCTCCCCAGTGGCATTGTGGGTCAACCCACAGCAGGAGGACTGCAGCTGTTAAAGATGGCAGCTCACCACCACCTTCTCAAGGGCTACTAGGGATGGGCAATAAACCCACATCCCATAAATGAATAAATAAAAGCACTTTGAAAGTTGTTCTTCATCACAGAATGTAAAGAAAGTTGACCCCTAAATTCTCTCTTGCTTTCTGATTTCAGAGAGACAGTTACGATCTACCAGTCCTTGCGAAAGGGGGATCCGTTTCTCATCAGGAAGGCGAGAACGTTGCGAGTTCAGGGCATGGAGTTACCGTTGCATCGAGCCAACTCAGAAATGTGTAAAAAGATGCTCTCAGAGGAAGCGTAGGCTCCAGACTGGGTGGTGATCTTGTTCAACACTGTTAACATGACTGGGAATTTCCTTGCAACTGCTCCTTGCAGTAACATCGCCGCAAGTGCACCGTAACACCCCCCACCCCGACCTTGACACGCGATTTCGAAGAAATTCCCAGCCTCTGTATACCTGTTGCCAGGCAAATTAGCATTGACCTTTCAAATGCAATACTTGAGTTGGTACAATTAGTAAAGCAATTTAAAAGTGAATTGCAAAAATCAGTAAAAGCCATAGGACATAACAGCATGTCTCTTGGAGCAGTTCTGTGGATTGAAAGCCACTTGTCCAATCTGCAGTATACCTCATGTTGCAAACACAACGGTGTTTAGTATGAAACTGTCTCCCATTCCCTAAGCTTTGCTATGGTATTTATGTTTCACCTTTTACCCAGTTTTTCTCTCTTCCCACTTCCAATCACTTTATCAACCACAAGGTCAAAGCAACAGGCTTTGACTTGCCTGCCTATTTCTGCCGAGCCTTTCTGAGGCCAGGGAAGTTGTGGTGAGATTGAAGTTAAAGCACCTCTTAGTGAGATGAGATACAACTGGGAATAGAAGGGCTGAACTCTCAAAATGTAACCCTCAGAAAAAAAAAATTGGTTGATTTGATTCTCGTTTAAGAAGTTGAATTTAATGCATTGAGAAACCCCGAGCAGTGGGTTTCATCATTAACTGTGTAAGATTTGCTCATTTTTAATTTGGAAAGAAGGTGCCACAGTTCGAGGTTGAATTCACTTCAGCATAAAACCAACCTTGCCATCTTTCCAAGCAATCACTGTTATTATTTAACTCCCAGGGCCTCACTCCATTGCTCTGCAGGATTTGGCAACCCCGTCACAGCCTGAGAACTCTCTATTCCTCTGACTATGACCTCTTACGCATTCATGAGTCCTTTCAACCCACTACTGATAGCTATACATTGAGCTATCTAGGTCCTAAACTCTGAAATTCCCTACCTAAACATCTCCATCTCCCCCCACCCCCCTCTCCTCAATCAAGACACTCACCAAAAACTACACTTTTAACTGAGCATTAGTTTTGACCTTAATGTCTCTTAAATGAGGCTCAGTGTTATCATTTGTTTGAAACGCATCACTCTGGGATGTTTCACTGTGTTAAGGGGCTTTATAAATACAATTCTATTGTTTTATTTCTCTCTTTGCTTCATCCCCTGGAAGCTGATTGGCTGCCAGGACTCTTAGCCAAGTGACTGTCCTTAGTGCGTTGAGCCCTGAGCTGTGAGTAGTTGCAGCCAGTTCGATGGAACGATTGTGTTCCTCAATCAAAGCTGGCAGGCAGCAATTTTCCTGGAGCTGGTTCCTGTTGAACTTTCAGGAGCCATTATCCTGGCCAGTTCTTCTCTCTGTATGCTAGGTACTGAGGGCCATTCAGGGAAGCCTGGCTGATGTCAAAGATGGTGGCAGCAGGGTCAGCAGTGTTTGGCTCCTGACTGCAGTGCCTCAGCCGCTCATGGCTCTAGCGGCGGGTTCTGCCGCATCTACGCAACTTCATTGTCATGTTTTTTTCTTGTTTTGGCTGCCCTGGAGCCTCCTCCTATGGGAGGCCGGGGCCCCTCCCGTATCTCCATCCCCGCTCCATCTTGGCTAGCAGTGGAAGACAAGCCAGGACCCCATCGGTCAACGCCCAGCATCGGAGGAAGCTGTGGGACCCGTGCAGCGTGACTGTCTCCCAATTGGAGGTGGTGGACGTGGAAATGATGGGCCGGTGGTGGCAGGAAGGGAGCACATTGCCAGGACCCCAGGGACGGCGTCGGATGGTGGTGATGGGGGAGCAGAGAGGGGGAAGGCTACAGACAGAGAAAGGTGGACTTTTGAAGCTGTTTCAGTTTTAGTAAATATCAATTTAACATTAATTTATTCAGTATTTTACCATTAATACACTTTATTCAGTAAGTTATTCTGTAATCCAAGATGGTCCCGGAATAAGGCGACATTATCCACTTTCCACTGTACAAGTGACAGAATATTTAATAAATCTACTGAGAATCATGACTGGAACAAAGGCCGCAGATTGAACCCTGGGCCAGAATGAGGATTGCTTTCAGCGGGAAAGGAGGTCGAACCATAGAAAGGATACAACACAGAAGGGAGTCATTTGGCCCATTTCTCCATGCTGACCCAAAGAAACACAGCTTCCCTTTCTAATTCCATCTTCACATAGCCCTGCAGCTTTACAGCCCTTAACGTGCAGATCCAGGTACTTTCTGAGAGTTTAGGGTCTTACACCAACTGGTTGAGATATATGACCAACAGGCAACTCACTATCATCCAAGACCATTTCACTCCCCATCTTCCCTGTAACACTTAGGACCAACAGGAGTTTAAATCAGGCCCTATCTTTAACATATTAATTGCTGGTGAGGACGTCCAGAATAATTTGGGTAGCTTTTGCCTATGCTGCATTTCAATGCAGAACCAATAAAGAAAGTACTACTGAAGTTTTAAACAGTTCCTAAATTTCAGATCACTTACTTAATAAATTTTATTTGATGAATCTACAGTTAATTGTTTACAATCATTCTTTTTTGTCATAAGTTTAATTGAATTACTGTCTTAATAAACTTACAATTTTGTCATCGATTGAAACAGATGCAATTGTTAGAATGTTGTCAGTTCAAGGTCAATCGCTGGAAAGTTTGTCACATAATCTCCCACTTTGACCTGCTCCACACCCCACCCCCACCTCTTCCACCTTTGTCCAGTCCTTCCCACATTGGGAATTCACTTTATTGAAAACAGAGGGCAAAATCTACCTGCCACAGCCAACAATTGCAGGTTGGGACCATTTCCAACTCAGAATGCCACCAGGATTCAGAGATGGCCAATCTTATGGGATATGGTCAATTTGGGACTGAACACAAACAAAGAGATGCTGATTTCTGAGCTCTGAAACAAACAGAAACAGAAATTGCTGGAGAAACTGAGCAGGTCTGTGGAAAGATAGCAGATTTAACGTTTCGAGTCCGGTGACCCTTCTTCAGAACTTCAGCCCTGTCTTAAAAACTCTCACATCCCTTCTTTGTTTTTTGCTGATGTTGACCGTTTTCATTTCTGAGGGGTAAAAGATGAAGGGCCTGTACTGTGCTGTACAGTTCTGTGTTCTATGCTTAATGCCTCAAAGTGTTTGTTCTGATTCATGGGTGAAACCTCTTAACACTGGGTACTGTAGCCTGATGTGATGGGGAAGCTGGTGGTCTTTCTCTAGTTGCACCATTGCCTCCCAGAAAATGGGAACCATCAGTTTGTGCTGATGTTAATCGTCATTTCAGCCAATATGGTGCCGGCACGGTAGGTGGTGTTCGGAGTTATTGGAGCCCATCTGCTCCAGGCCGGCAGCATTGTTTTCTCCATGTACTTCTTTTTCTTCCTCCTTTCTTCTTCATCTTCGAGGCCGGAGCAGTGTCAGCGGGGCATTAGCTGCAGCGTTGGTGGCATGGATCGGGACTTCTGTCAGCGGTAAGGCCAGAGCCTGGACTCTTGGCGGCAGTGGTGCCCAGAACAGGGACCCATGGCAGCAGTAGGCCTGGAGTCTAGACACCTGGTGGCAGTAGGCCCGGAGCCTGAACTCTAGGCGGCGGTGATGGCCGGAGCAGGGACTCATGGCAACAGTAGGCCTGGAGCCTAGACCCCTGGTGGCAGTAGGCCCGGAGCTGAGACCCCTGGTGACAGTAGGCTGGAGCCTGGACTCTTGGCAAATACGGTGGCAGCAGAGCCAAGATCTCCTGGGACATCAGTGTTGTTGCTGTTCCTGGAGTAGGACTCCTTGAGGCCCACCTTTCAGAGCCCTGAAGCTGTGCTTGAAACCTCAATTTGAACAGAAGATGAACTCTTATTTAAGTAATTTCTCTTTAACTTTACCATAGCTCAAAATGGCACCGGATTGTGGCGACAAAACACTTTTCACTGTATTTTCAAAATAAACGTGACAATAAATCATTCATTCATACTCAGGAGATGGCTGGTGTGAGAAATAGAAAGGAAAAAAACCCTTTGATGAAGAGGGAATGACTGTACAAGCTGGGGAAAGGGAGCATTGTGTAGGGTTGGAAAAGTGGATGGGGTCTTTTGTGAGTTTGGTGCTAAACATGGTGGGATGGGAGAATGTTGCAAGTTTGGACATGGAGGCCGGTGGACCAAGTCTATCATTGTTTACCCATTTCAATCACCGTTAAAAGAAGTCCATATATGCAATTTATTTTATAACTGACCTCAAGCTATTTGCTGCTTAAGGGGATGTGCAAAAATAATGAATTGTGATTAGAAATATTTCAATGAAATGACACACTCGAAGAAAATGTTACTTTGAGATTCGCTATGTGAGTAATCTGAGATGATAAATGTTGCATTCTTAAGAGAATTGAGGTACTTTAGTTCCTAAAGTTCTTTCTCATTTGGGATTATTCTTGCCTTATGTTTGGGTCTGTTTTAGACCCATTAATAAAGTGTGTGTTCCATGTATCAGCTCTGGCTGCTAGTTCTTTTTACCGTTTATTTACTATTCTCTGAATCTACGTCCAGGCTTAGCTAATCAAACACAGTGGATCAGTCAGCAGACACTCATAATCAAGCACAGAACAACTGACCATGACAATTTAATTATCCAGCAACTCAATTGCTGTATCATGTGACCAGCAGGCTGGTCACAAGTGTGTAGGATGGACTTTTTTTGTTCTCAAGTCATTTCTACATTTCTCAGACTACTGGCAACTGAAACATTTTATGGAGGCGGAGAAAATGGAAGACAAACTTTCCTGTTGCTTAACAAAGTGAACAAACACTATGCTTTGAACAGTTGTAAATGTTTGTACAAAGTGTTAGCATAGGAAGACTGTCATCATCAATGGGTTTGCATATAAACAAAGATGGAAATAGATTCATTCAGCTTGCTCCATGAAGACAAGGAGTAAGCACCTCAATAACATGAACTGTCCAGACCCTGGGAGAGGAAAGCCTCTCAACATAGTCAGAAAAAACCCTGGCTATTTCCTGTCACACACCCTGAAGAACGCTGGCAATGTTTTAGAAAGCAGTATAACTTCTACAAAATGGCAAATGATGTATGAATTAAATCTTTGGTACTTGCTGGGAGTGTATAATGTAGTTCACATGAAACATTCTGTATAAAGGAAGTCCAGAGATCCTGAATTTCTTTGGGGTATTCCAATCATCTGTCATTAATGTTGGCCAATTTTAGCTTTGTGTCTCTGGGGCATTCATTAGTTGCCCAGGAAAAATTCCAAAAGATAACTACCAGTCATTAGACAAAAGTAATGTTTTAAGATAGCTCAGGAGGTAATGTAGTGCATTTGCTCTGGAACTGAACTGAAATGCAGTCCATACTGATGCAATGGGATCTTCTCTATTTGCTAGTCTTGGAAGTCCCATAATCTCTGTTCCCTCAAAAATTCTGTCTGAATATAATCTCCTTGTTCTGCTTAGAAGTGTCCAATTCTGGGCACCACAATCCAGCAGAATAAAAATTTGGGGACAGTCCGAAATGATGTCAGGATTGTATGACTTCAGTTCCATGGAGAGACCAGAGAAAATGGTATGCTCCTGGAGCAAAGATGGTCAAGGGCAAACTTAATATCTGTATTCAAAATGATGAGAGATTTGGTGGCGTATGGAGGTGAAAGTTGTTTCATTGGTAGCAAGGTCAGTAGGCAGCGGATCCAGATTTAAAATTCCAGAGACAAAGTTAGATTGTTTTTTTTGACACAGTGAATTGCTATGATCTGGGATGCACTGCCTGAAAGGATGGTGGAAGCAGATTCGCTAGTAACTTTCAAACAAGAACCAGATAAATCTTGTAAAGGAGAGATTTACAGGACAATGGGGAAAGTGCTGGGGAGTGGGATGAGTTGGATCGATCATATTGAGTGCCAGCACGTAAATGTGGGCCAAATGGCCTGCTCTGTGCTTCATCATTCTACAGTATTAAGTGCTGGCTCTTCAATTACATTTCTCCAAGAAAAACCTGAGCTCTTCACTTGCCAGCACTGGAGATGAGGTCACTGCATTCTGAGAGGGGATCAGTCTAAACAAAGTTAAACTTAGAATGAACAAAGCCAAAGAAAAAAATTGTATCACAGGCAATTGTATCAAAGATCATTTCAAGACAACGTGGTCCAACATCGAGATATCACTTAAAACACAAGAGAGGCTGACTTTAAGCTGCTTTGTGGATTATGCATGAGACAATAGTGGTCTAGACTTTGTGACACAATTAATTAGCCCCACTTCCTGCCATTTTCCTGGGGGCCTCCACATAGAGTTCATTTAAGGGTCTCAATTTGCTAATCGGATTCAGCCAACCTGCACTGCTCTCAGCCTCAGTATATACCCATTATGGAGTTGTGGGGACACACAAACATACTACTGAGGGAGAGTCCGCTCTGCAGACTAAATGGCAGACAAATCACTTCAACTCAGCCAATGAGGAGTCAATTGCTTGGCTTTAGGGATTTGAAGTTGTTAAATAATTCACAGATGAATAGATACACTGGGGGGTTCATATCTCAGGGAGTGGGGTTAAGTCTGCCAGCTGGTGTCAAAGGGCAACTCGTGCCCATTATTTCCAGTCATTGTACAGCTTAGTCACGGTAACATAGCCATTCCAAACTGCTGTGAAAATGGGACATTTATTTTCCTTTGGTTGTTGTGAGGGCCCTCAAAAATCTGAAATGCTGCCCAGACTCTGACTCAAAGGCCTGCGAATGCTTCCCCGTATCCTACCAACCTGGCTAAAATCCTGGGCATAGCTCCCTGTCCCTACCTTGGTAATCTACTAACCCCCATACCTCCCTCACCCCACAACTGGCAAGGTGCCTGTGGACATTGGAAAAACTCAGTCACATGCCGGGTTCTCAGCATGATTCAGGTACCACACTTAATGCCAGGCGGTAATTGCAGTGCCCAGACCTGCCCAATATACACCCAGAGCTCCAGCCAAGCTCTCAGCTTCCAGTCTGATTGAGGTCATGTGAGCAACTGAGATGCTCTCAGACTCGTCCTTGAAGTAATCGTTATTTGTTTAAGATGTCTAGTCATTACAGTGGTTTTGAACTAACAATGTCTCCAGTGAGCTGCATGGTAACATAGGTTGTACTGTAGGTTTATGGTGCTTTAACTGTTCAGTATGGTGCCCTCAACCTCAACAGAAGCAGAGCGCTCAATAGTGCCATCCTGGGAAATTTGATGCCAGGAACAGCCTGAAGGAAAGCCAGCAAAGACAAGGTTCAAATCTTTTTGTCAGGAGACAAGAGGAAACCAGGGGAAAAGGTTGATGGCTGCTGTGGGCCATGTGACCTGAACATGTGACTTTCTGTCCCATTGCAGGATACATGCACAGGGTCCTCTGCACCTGTCAGCATGTGGCTCAGGTATACGGCCCAAGGAAACTTGAAAAATTCTGTAAAACCTCCAAACTGAAGACTTGTGTGTTAAGTGGTGATGACAGCGTATATATACCATCCTTAACACATCAAAACACTCCAAAGT